CAGTTCACAGATTTTTAACTTGGCAATTTATTTGAGCATGTAGAAATACAGAAGAGGGCTTGCAGAACAGTTACTACGATGCACTGTTACTTAATCCTATTTGTACAGATTGGTTCTTCTCATCTTCATTCATTAATCCAGAGTTTAATGCTGAATGCACTTGGGGTTGGTCAATATATTGTATTTTCAGAGAAATAAATTCATTTTTAAAAAGATTTATCTATTTTAATTTGAAAGTTAGGGTTGCAGAAACTGAAGAAGATTCACATACACACCCCACCCCAATACTTGCTGAGTGATCGTCCATCCATTGGTCCACTCTCCAGATTGTCACAACAACCCTAGCTGGTCCTGGCCAAAGCCAGGAGCTTCTTCTGGGTCTCCCACATGGACAGCATGGGCCCAAGCACTTGGGCCATCTTCGCCTGTTTTTCCCAGGCCATTAACAAGGAGATGGATCAGAAGTGGAACAGACAAGATTTTAACCAGTATCTCTGTCAGATGCCAGCAGCACAGATGTGGCTTAACCCTCTTTGCTACAATGCCAGATCTAAGAAATAAATTCTATTTCAGTTAACTACTGGACCAAAAATGAATGGTTAAAACAAAAAAAAAATTAGCCTGCTTGATTCTAAAATTTTCTGTAATAGATATTTTATTTAAACCTCACTAGATGATGAGGGGTTTGATACTTTTTTGTATATATTAGAATCACAACAGTTGTAAAAGATTGAATCAGCAATAAGGATTGTATCAAATATAGAGAGCATGGCATAAAGTTCACCAATTCTGTGAACTATTGAATTCCACTTAATCAATAATTTTTGTAAGATATGAGTCAGAACAAGTCCAGGAGGTTAAGGTTCTCTAATTATCACATGCACAGTAATAGTCTCATTTTTTCCACAATCAGAATTGAGTCTATTATTAGTTCAGTTTAGAATTTGTTCACAGAAACTCATTTACCAAGTTTAGGCATTCTATCAGGGCTCTGAGTTAGTGGTGAGAAAAACAGATAGCCTGCCCTTCCGAGCTCTAGAGTCAAATGAGGAAGAGAAATGTCAATTGGAAAATCAACATGTATATAATTATGAACTGTGGTGACAACTATGAGGGCTGCTAGCCAAGTTCTAGAGGAAGAAAATCTTTCCTGAGGAAATAACTATGGAGCTAAAACCTAAAGGATGAGCTTGGGAGGGAAAAAAAAGTGGTAAAATCAAAAGAAACTCTGAATCTGAAAGAGCCCAGACCTTCAGAGAAACTGAAAAGTCTCTTAGGCTAAATTCTAGAGAGGAAGGGAAAGCGAAGAAGCTTCAGGAGGAGATTATTTCATCTTTGTTCCCAAAACATAAAGTTATGGGGAACCAGGGTGGTGGAGGAGTGATTAAACAGTAGCCTACATGATCAGAGATGAATTCTATTGAAATATTTAAATTATTATCACTTAAGGACAGACATTAATGGTGCAAATGTGAAAAGTGATTAACATGTTATTACCTTAATAGATTTAGCAGAAGTAAGAGTAGTGGAAATTGGAGATTGGGGCCAGCGCTGTGGTGCAGTGGGTTACCGCCCTGGCCTGAAGAGCCAGCATCCCATATGGGCGCTGGTTCGAGACCCGGCTGCTCTACTTCCAATCCAGCTCTCTGCTATGGCCTGGGAAAGCAGTAGAAGATGGCTCAAGTTCTTGGGCCCCTGCACCTATGTAGGAGACCTGGAAGAAGCTCCTGGCTCCTGGTTTGGGATTGGTGCAGCTCTGGCCCTTGCAGCCATCTGGGGAGTGAACCATCAGTGGATGACCTTTCTCTCTGCGTCTCCTCTCTCTGTGTATCTCTGACTTTCAAATAAATAAATAAATCTTTTTTAAAAAAGTGGTGGAGATGAGAAGTGGAAACTTAAAACAAATATAGGAAGTGAAATGAACACAATTAGAAGACTGATATTGATCAGATATGGGGGATGAGTGTGAAAGAAAGTAGGTAACCTTCATGGGACAGGCGTTTGGCACACAAGATCTTCATCCAATGTCAGAGTGCCTGGATTCCAGGCTTGGATCTACTCCTAATTCTAGCTTCCTGCTAATGTGTACCCTTGGAAACAACAGGTGATGGCTCAAGTGGCTGGATCTCTGCCACCCACTTAGGAGATCCTGGTTGCAATCCCTGGCCCTGGCTGTTGTGGTTATTTAGAGTATGACTAGCAGACTAGCAGAAGGGAGATATTCTCTCTCTCTCGCTCTCGTTCTCTCTCTCTCTCTAATAAATGAATGAAATGAAATAATATGCCCCTCAAGTGTCATTCACATATGACTGCATGGATTGTGATGCTATTCACTGAGAAAAATGTCTGGGCTTGGAGGGATGGGACATGAGATTTAAGGTTGCCTTTAGACCTTCTAAGTAGAGATATTAACAGAGCCATTAGAAATATAGATTTGGAACTTAGGAAACAATGAGGTTGGAGGAGTACGTTATCAGTTACAGTACTGAAGGGGGAATGAAAGCATGTGAAAAGAAGATCATCCACTGGAAGAATATTCTCTAAATGGAAGAAAGTTCATTAGTTTTGAAAATGTTCTTGGCCAGTGCCACAGCCCACTTGGCTAATCCTCCGCCTGTGGCACTGGCACCCGGGGTTCTAGTCCCGGTTGGGGCGTCGGTTCTGTCCTGGTTGCTCCTCTTCCAGTCCAGCTCTCTGCTGTGGCCTGGGAGGGCAGTCGAGGATGGCCCAAGTGTTTTTGAACCCTGAACCCTCATGGGAGACCAGGAGGAAGCACCTGGCTCTTTGGATCGGCGCAGCACCGGTGTGGTGGTCATTTGGGGGGTGAACCAATGGAAGGAAGACCTTTCTCTCTGTCTCTCTCTCTCACTGTCTAACTCTGCCTGTAAAAAAAAAAAAAAAAAAAGGAAAATGTTCTTTGTTCTTTCATGTTTTAGTACTATCTTAAATGTATCAAGGAAAAGTTCAACGTATCTTAAAGATAATGGTGCCCATGAACATTGAAGACTTTAAGAAGATAGAAAGTATAAAAGCCTGAAGACACAGCTGATTATCTAGAAGTGCAATTTTCAATAATAAAGTCATGAGATGATATGGACCTAGACTACTATACTGGCAATAGAAATCATAAACTATCTCTTCTTATAAATAATACTCAGAGAAGTTTTGGAGTACAGATTCTTGTTTTGATCATTCCCTAATTTCATTTACTTTGAGTAGTAGAAATTCTACTTACTACATTATTTTTTAAACTTATAAAAGAATGTATGTCTGTACCAGCAACAGAGATATATGAAGAATACAATATTCTTACCTACTTCCAAATGTATCCATTGAGCTAAACAATTTTTAAAGTTTGATATGTGTTAACCTACATTTTTCTCTGAACAAAGATAAGCTTCTGTTGTTTTTTTAAGGAAAATAATATCATGCATATGTAGAATCAAAATTTCCATTTAACTTACTGATATGGTTGCATTTAACTTAGTGATTTAACTTAATAACCTTTTAGTCAAAACATATGGACATTCTAACATTTTAAAGAATGCCATTAGATTCCAAAGTATAAAAATGCTTTAATTTATTCAATCACTCTCTAATAGATATTCATACTATTTTTATGCTTTTGCAGTACCTTATGCATGGCTTGCTGTGCCAAATGAAAAGTTTCTATTATTGATTTTAATAAATACTGCCAGATGACTTCCCAAAGATGTCACAATGTGCAATCCCACCAGTAAGGTGTCAGAAAGCCCGTCAGTATTCTTTGCCAGTGCTAGATGTCATACTTTTTTTTCTATTTACTGCTAAATTAAGGAATGGAAAAATTATATCCCCTTGTTTAAATTTGCATTTAAATTATCAGTGATTATGTTTGCTAATATTTGTGTTTTGATGTTTATACTTATTACCTACTATTTTAATTTTAATATCTAATTTTGATGTTTATATTTAATCCTGTAACTCACCCACTTTGAGATTTGCATAGAACAAATTTTGGAATTAAAAAACAACAAAAATTAATTCTTCTCTTTGCAATACATATCTGTTTAAAACTAAAAAAATTTCAATAATATCAGATGAAATGAGGAATCTGCCATATGTAGTAGAATCAATTTCTCCCACTCAAAGTCTACTCACAATATTATACCAGGCAAACCTTCTGGGTATGTGAGGCCAGCTCCTTAACCTCACCTTCGTTCCTTCCTTATACTCCCAGTACATTAACACCCCAAACACTCACACGTATACACACATACATCCACATACAATATAGTTTTCCCTGCATTTACTCTCTGACATAAGATACCCCAATCTTCTTTGGTATATAAGTTGGGTTCGTTTTTTAAATTTCCAAGAAAAATGGATGCATGTGAATATGTATTTTTAGTTTGCTAAAACCAAAGTCTTCTTTCATCTGAAGAATACTTTCATGTATCAAAAGCATATTAAAGGGCCGGCGCCGCAGCTCACTAGGCCAATCCTCCGCCTTGCGGTGCCGGCACACTGGGTTCTAGTCCCGGTCGGGGCGCCAGATTCTGTCGTGGTTGCCCCTCCTCCAGGCCAGCTCTGTGCTGTAGCCAGGGAGTGCAGTGCAGGATGGCCCAAGTGCTTGGGCCCTGCACCCCATGGGAGACCAGGATAAGTACCTGGCTCCTGGCTTCGGATCAGTGCGGTGCTGATCTGGCAAAAGGAAGAACCAACGGCAAAAGGAAGACCTTTCTCTCTGTCTCTCTCTCTCACTGTCCACTCTGCCTGTCAAAAAATAAAAAATAAAAAGCATATCAAAGCATATTTCTTATTTTGTTATTTTCTTACTAGTTATCATTTAATTGATGTTGATCTCACAGAAGATTTTCTCTCATTCTAATTGTAACTATCTCAATTAAGTATTCATTAATAATTCTTTTACATGGTGTTTAAACATGAGTCAATCATGTTTCTGTTAAGGGACATATCCTTTGTCTTATAATAATGTTCATTTCTCTTTCTGTTTGTAGGGAAACTTTTTGGGTTCAAGTTTCCTGGTCTGAGAGTTCTCACCTACAGAAAGCAGTCCTTGCCCCAAGAAGACCCTGATGTGGTAGTAATCGATTCATCTAAACACAGCGATGATTCAGTTGCCATGAAGCACTTTAAGTCTCCGACAAAAGAAAGCTGCAGCCCCTCTGAAGCAGATGATACAAAAGCCTTGATACAGCCTAGCAAATGTTCCCCATTGGTGAATATATCTGGACCTCTTGACCATTCTTCTCCCAAGAGGCAATGGGACAGACTCTATCCTGACATGCTGCAGTCAAGTTCCCGGCTGACTCATTCCAGATCTAAAGAAAGCATTTGTAGTATACGGAGGGCATCTTCCGTACACGACATAGAAGGGTTCAGTGTCCACCCTAAGAACATTTTTAGAGACAGGCATGCCAGTGAAGGTATGTTTGTATTTTTAATATGGAAGCATATGAATGAATAATGAAAAACTGTTTTCACATTATTTCAAAGTTCAACATTAATCTTTATTTTTGGGAGGAATAAATGTGATTAAAATATTAAAAATGTGAATTTTTACATTTAGAGTTTTTACTGGTTCCTCCTTGAAACCTATTGAGTGACTTCCTTTCTACTGACTTCTTGTTTCCGAACTAGGATGATTGCCATTATCTGCCTACCTCATAGAGAGCTGATTAATTAGTACTTAATATAAGAGTTGCTTAGGTAATGAACAGGATCACCTCCAACATAATTTATTTTACTACATTTACCCATGCTCACACATTCACATCCCCAACAGAATGAGTGCTATTTCATCACAGGACTATTTTATTGGCCAACTCTTTTCCAAGGAAGAGATGAATAAAATGTGATGTAGGGAATGATCAGAATGTAAAAACTGACAGAAGAGGATAAGGAGGGGAATCGGGAAAAGTTTAAGGGAACAAAACAAACACTGAAAATCCTGATCTTAAAAATACTTATTTTAAAAGTGAAATCAGAATTTATTTATTAGTCCCTGGCCTCTATGTTTACTTTATTCTATTAGTCAGTAGTGAAAATAGGCATGTTCAAAAAGCAAGGATTCATCATTAGTACAATGATGGCTATTAGGTCTGTGAAGTATTTACCATGTGCAAGGCAATCTACATATTTGACACACATTAACAGGTAATTTTAATAAAAATCCTACAAGTTAGTGTATTAATCTGTTTTTCACCACTACAGTGAAGTAGCTGAGAGAAGTTAGCTTTGTAAAGAGAAAAGGTTTGCTTGGGCCCACCATTCTGGAGGTTCTTAGTCCAAGATCAGGCATTCCCATTGGTTTTGCATCTGGTGATGACTATTTGCTGTCAGAGTCCTGAAGCAGCATAGAGCATCAAACAGCAGCAGGGAGTGCAAATGCCTACATCTGTTTTTATAAAATCATGGTGCCATCATGGGGCCTCCAGCCTAACAGCCTAATCTAATCCAGTCCTTTCCCAAAGCTTCCATCTCCAAACACTATAGCCAGATTAATTCTCAGCCCTTTAAATACCATTGCCTTATGACTTTGGGGTTTAAAATTCTACCTGAGTTCAGGAGCCAAATCTTGTTCCAACAACAGCAGTTAAGCAACATTTTAAAAAATATTTATTTATTCATTTGTTGGAAAGGTAGAATTAGAGAGAGAGAGAGAGAGAAAGAGAGAGAGAGAAAGAGAACCATCTTCTGGTTCACTCCAAAAGGTCCACAACAGCCAAAGATGGACCAGGCTGAAGTCAGGAGTCAGGAGCTTTATCCAGGTCTCCCACATGGGTGGCAGGGGCCTAAGTACTTGGACTATTTTCCAGTGCTTTTCCAGGCACTTTAGCCAGGAGCTGGATTGGAAGAGGAGCAGGCAGGACTTGAACTGAGGCCCAAATGGCATGCTGGCATCACAGGTACTGGCTTTATCCACCAAGCCCCAGTGCTGGCCCCAAGATCCATTTAAGTCCCATTTTATAATTGAAGCTACCGAAGCTTTAGACAGTTAAGTAACTGGCTCAAGTTTGCACAGCTAGTACATGTCAGAGCCTGAGTCATACCCAAGACTGCCTGTCCATAGTGCACAATCAAATTCATGGAGTTTTTCCTCCCTTCTTCCAGCATCCTGTCATAGAAGTTGTCTATTGGGCCATTGAACATTCCTCAATGCTTCTAGGATTCAGAGCACCATACACAGATATATGAGTTCAACATTTCAAACTCCCATGCATCTGGACTCTTGAAAAGTCTGCTGATCTTTCTCTGTTATAATTTCTTTGTGCACCATCACTGCTCTTTCTTCTACTGGTTTTCCTTTAAAGGCATAAATGTGATCATATGGCTCCTTAGGATGGACCACCTGACGCTTTGCTAATGGACCAGTTATTGTCAAGTCTTATTGAAGATTCTGCAGGACAGACTCCCCCACTGTACACTGTATTTTAGGCTTTCATTGAAGTAATTTGTTTCCAAAAATGTTTCATACATTTTCTTGCTTCATTATTTTATTATGGAATACTCTTCCCTACTTTGACCATCCTCACAGTACCATTTGGCCTCAGGGACCTATTTTCCCCTTCCCAAGCCAGAAGAATTAACTGATTTCATAATGTATTTTATGTATCTGTCATTCTTGCTAGATATTCAGGCAAACAATTGCATTGTAGTGAGCCATTCCAGAATTGGAGCTCTGCAAGTTTTACATCTAGCATAATTGTCTACTTCATGGCAGATAGTTGATAAATGTTGGTGTGACATTGAGAAGATCATGCTCATGAATTATGTTCCAAAATCACATACATCAATAAATAATGAATGCTCTGCTCTGTAATGCTCTGAATTCCAACCAAAGTGTTAAGATTGAATCATGTGGAAAATCTTTATCTAAAGGGCACAGGGAAGTAGAGAAGGCAGAAGAGGTGAAAGAAAATGAGTTGGCAGGAAAAAAATCAAGGAGAACTAAATCAATATATCTGAAACAGAAAGGACAGTTTGCTGTAAGACAGCTTTGAAAAACTGTATACTTTACAAGAGCAATTAATACATCCATTTCAGTCTGCGGTTCAAAGAAGGTCACAAGGAAAAAGAAAATAAGATCAAGGACAATTCCCACATTTGTTAATCACCTGAGGCTCTATACCATTTAGCAATGGCAGTCTCAATATTTCCTTAATGATCCTCTGCAATTTGACCTTTGTATAATGGGTTCCATGGTTGAACAACAATAAATCCTATACATTAGTTTGAAAGACCAATATATGTTTTCATTAGTCTAGTTAGTGTAGTCATCTGTAGCAATCATATTAACTTTTCAAAGGTTTGCCTTACATTCTACAGACAGAACCTGAGTGATAGTATAAAAGTGAGAAACAATAAATTTGACAATCAAACTGATACATAAGCAATACATCCTACAGAAAGTCTGGATCAGATTTTATGACTTAACGTTCCTGTTTTCAGTTTTTGTGGAAGAGTAACTGATAAAATTGGGGAAAAGAATGACTAAGATTTTTGTATTTCTCAGTACAGGTATCACACATAGACACTTAGTCCTACAACTGTCCTCATTTTCCTCTCCCCACCCAAGCTAAGCTGTTTTCAGAAAATCTATCATTTTCTTGCAAATGATACAATGTGTGACTATAGATGGATAAACCCAAAGGATATTTTGTATTTCTGCTTTAGATCAGTTCTATCTAAAAAATCATTGATTGGCACAGAGGAAACTAAATTTCCCAAGACACATAATTTGGAGCATTTTAGAAAATGAGTCATTGATATGGGAATATAGAAAACTTTTAAAATTGATTTCAGTTTTATGAATTCATATAACTTTAACAGTCTAAATTCCACATGCATCAGATTTTGTATTTATCTCTTCATTCAAATAGAGAAATCTCCATCTGCTTGGACTACCTTTTCAGAACTTTAAATATCTTTGCAAAAATATTAATGCATAATATTTTACATGATCTTCTCATTTAATCTGTGTTAGCACATAGCTTAGAACTGCATTGAGGTAGTTCAAAAGATGCGGGGAAAATGGAATACAAAGATGGTAATTTTAGTGCGAAAATTTTGAAACCCATGCATAGGTTCAACATAATATGCATTTCCATGAGCTTTTTGAAGATTCTTCCTATGCATGACTTTCAGTTTTTTGCACCAAAAATAAATGATCTTTTAATAGCAGTTTCCACAAATATATTGAAGTGTCTTCATGCTTCTCAATCTATTTATGGTGAAGGACCAGAATTTTTTTTTCTAATCCAACACAAACTGAATCATTTGTAAATATAATAAAAATATGCAGTCAAAAATGAATTTTTACAAAATAGACAGGCAAAATATAAACCCCATTTGTTTTATCATTAGATTCAGCAGATAGGAAATTATTCTGTCACATTGCTGTGGAAGATTTAAGTACTCTAATTTCTGCACTTATGTTGTCATGGAGGAGTAACAATCAGATTTCAGGGTACAGATCACACACTCTGCTTGGAATGTCAACGTGGCATTAACTGTATAATGTAACGTCTGGTAGTTTTCTTCACATTTGTAGATCATATTATAGAATTTCTAGTTTGGTGAGTACGGTTATAATTTTGGACCACTTTCAAGCAGTTGTTACTTTCCTAATGATTTTTGGACTCAGCTTCTGATGGAGCCATTATTTTTGTGTAAGCAAGATCCCTTCTATTTTCCCACTCATTTTTATGATTCCCTCAGAGTGGGAAGTGAGTTATTATCCATGGCCACATTTTATGTTGGTGTCCCCGTGATTGGATATGTGATATAGTATGCAACATTACTAGAATTACTTCAATAGTAAGCTCTTAAAAAGCTGTGATAAAAAACTCAAGATTTCACATGAGCACAGTGTAAGATGTTAACAAAATGTTGAGTTATCAAATGTTGTATATGTTTGAATGATTTTGATATGGCTCATTTATTTCGTTTATGTGTTTCAAAGCTAGTAATGCATATTTTGTTAGTAGCAAATATCAACATCTAGAATGCTAATCTCAAAAAAATCTGAAAGCATTCCACTCTGAGATTTAAAATGACACATTTTAATATAAACAAATTTCCTAAATATTTGAGGTACTATACTCAGTGCATTGTGAAAATAGAAATATTTTCACATTCCTTTTAAATCAGTAGATATTTCACTGATTTTTGTAATTATTTTTGCTTAACATTGTTTCAGTTATATTTGCTATTTTCAAAGTATACATTGAACAACATTTGAGAGAGGGAGGAGTTAAAATTGTGATTAATAATACAAGCTGGTTTATTAAGGAAAACTGTTATCTTAGAATTTTCTCTATTAATACACTGGATTAAACTGTATCAAAATTGCTTAGCATGAAAAGTATTATGTAGTCTTCTTTTAAATATATTGTAAATGGTGGTTGCGACACTAAAACTGGCTTCTGACAAGGTTGAAAGTTATGGTCCCAACTACTGGTGGCTGAGGATGTCTCTTCAAAGTATCATAATTACAAAACCTGTAGCTTGGGATCCTTTTAAATTAAGTAAGATAAATGTTTATTATAGTTAAACAAGGATGTTTGGTATGGCAGATAATATTTTTGTATATGTATTTTACTTAAATAGCACCCAGTGTTAATTGTAGTCAAGTATAAATTTTCATCATTATGTCCTGTTTTCTAATTGCTTTTACAATTACTAGAGGAATTTTAGTATATAAAACATAATTTTAGTCTTCTTTTCATATTTCTCTCTTTTTATCCTTATATGCTCAAAACAGACAATGGTCGCAATGTCAAAGGTAATGTGCAAATGCGGATTTCACCATCTGATGCTTAAAGTTTCCCCTTACTTGGCATGTTAACCTGCCTGCTGGATGCCCTGTTCAATGCAACACCCTCATGCTGCCCTTAGCTAGACCAGGTGCCTGGTGGAGACATCATGGCTTGATTTTGCTGGATACGTTGTCACTTTCTGAGCTGTGTCATTAAAGTGATTATGAACTTTTTTTCCTGCAAGAATATAAGCCTGGGTTGACAATGAGCACTGCCTAAATATCCAAATCAATGAAAAAGAAACAAAAAACAAGCTATATATTCCAGTGTAATAGTGATATATAAACCTTTTTCAGGGAAAACAGATTTTTTTAAGTAGAAGATTAAGTAAACAAAGTGCTACATGACCATATCAGTTCACTTGTTCCTCTTTTGTTTCCTTAAAACTAGTTTCACGTTCCTGGATGGCAGGGGGTATGGTTTTAAGCTTACTGTAGTAGTAAACTGTACATGCATGACAGTCATTTCCTATTTTTTGATAATATATTTTGATCATTTGAATTGTGTTCTATATTAGTCTGAAATCACTGGCATGACCTACAGCTACTGTAGGGTAATATTTTACTGGAAATACCTCGGATAAATTTTGATTTGGCTTAAAATTTGAAATTCACCTCTTTTTTTTTTACTTAATTGCCATAGATACAAGGATTACAAAATATAATAATAATAATCTCATTAAATTGAAAAGTGTTTTGACTTGGTCTTTTACCATAGGCCTTGCATGCTGCTGTGGGTATGCAAATGGTGACAGTGACTTGTTTTGTGCATGTGTGTTGCATGAACACGTCTCCACCAGTAACCATCATTACTTAGCATTCACTGTTTGGCCTATTCTGTATGTCACTGGTGCTCTGACTACTGTGCAGTTTGGTATATTGATTTCTAAATTCCTTTCTAATAAATTCAGAGCTGGCAATGGTTATAAATTAATAGCATTAGAAACCAAAGAAGTTTTCTGGTCAGAAGTCCAGGGTTATTTAAAAATAAGGGAAAAATGGCAGTTTCTCTCCTCCCAAAAAACTTTGTTTTTTCCAATTCAGAGAGGGTCTATGCCTTTTTAATAGTAGCATGTGATTTCATCTACATGATTATTCTACCCTTGGCTTCTCCACTGGGTTTTCTTAAAAGGAGAAAATTAATATCAGCTTGGGTGTTGATTTTCATTGACATCATTCAGAAAGTAATCTTAAGAAACAGGATAAAGACGACTCTTGACAACTGTCTGTGTGAAATGATTGAACTTAGGAACTGACAATTAGCCTTTCCAGTGATTTTTTTAAAAAAATTATTAGAGATGCAGAAAGATAGAAAAACATACAGTACTCCTATCTGCTGGTTTTCTGTCCAAATGCCTGCATCAGCCTGCATTGAGCCTGATTGAAGCTAACAGCTGGGAACTTAATCCAGGTCTCCTATTTGAGTGATAGGGACTCAAATACTTGAGCCATCACTTGCTGCCTTCCAGCAGTGCTAGAGCCAGGATTCAAATGCAGGCAATTTGCTATGGTACATGGATGTCAGAAATGACATCTTAACCAAACATTCACCCTCCATTGACTTTTTTAAATGCAGTGAGAAATGAATTAAATCACTTTTATTTTATTTTATTTATTTATTTATTTTTTGACAGGCAGAGTGAGACAGTGAGAGAGAGAGACAGAGAGAAAGGTCTTCCTTCTGTTGGTTCACCCTCCAGATAGCCGCTAAGGCCAGTGTGCTGCAGCTGGTGCAGCACGCTGATCCGAAGCCAGGAGCCAGGTGCTTCCTCCTGGTCTCCCATGCGGGTGCAGTGCCCAAGCACTTAGGCCATCCTCCACTTCCTTCCTGGGCCACAGCAGAGCGCTGGACTGGAAGAGGAGCAACTGGGACAGAATCCGGTGCCCCAACCGGGACTAGAACCTGGGGTGCCGGCGCCGCAGCGGAGGATTAGCATAGTGAGCTGTGGCACTGGCTGAATTAAATCACTTTTAATAGATAAAATAGTGAACTGGCTTTTCTTTCAAACTAGTAGTTCATGTACAAACTACATTGACAAACTACAGTCATTTCAGGTCAGCTATAAAAAGTAATATATATAAAAGCTACATAAAGTAATCTACTCAATCTCCAACCCTTTTTTCATCAATCCCGCCATTTTGTAATAGCAATAGTCTTTGAACAAAACTGTTATCTTAAAATAAAATCCAGATAACACATCAATTTCATAATCACAATATAAAATATGTAATACAATCATCAAAACCAAGATTTGGAATTATTAACCTTTAAGCAATTATTGAAAATTTCCACATACTAACATTCATAAAGTTAAATCCATCAATTGGAGAAAACATGTGTAAAGAATAAAATTTAAAATAAATTCAAAATTTTTAATGTTTTTACTTTCTGTGTTTGAAAACTATTTTATTATTTACTTTCCATTATTTTTAATATAAAGAGAGCAGATTTAATGTAGCTCATAGAACGCACTGGTAATTTCCTTCCTCCCTTCCTCTTCCTCCTTTCTTCCCTCATCTATCTTTCTTTCTTCTTTCATTTTTTCAGTTCTTGAGAGAACATTTTTGATTAAGGTTATAGTCACAAATTTAATGCTCCACTAAATGAAGAATTCAACAAATAAAAAGCTCAAAGACCTTATTGTTCAGAAGCAGTACAGGCAAGGGCTATAAATTATAATCAAATTAAAATATATCAATTTCATTCATATAAAGTAAATTTTAAAATTAATCACAGATCATTGAAACTATAGTAATATATTATTATTCTTAGCTATTTGTATGACAAAGATAGAAACCAAAGTTTGACAAAACATTTTGCAGCAATATTGCAAGCTGCTAATTTTAAGTGTCTGATTACTTTAATATTTAACAGAATAACTAGCATACCAGTTAGGTACAGGAAAGTACATTAAGTAAAACAATAAGTACATTAAGTACAACATAAGTATGCTAAGTAAAATAAGCAAAAATAAAAGTATTTTGGGGGCTCCATTGATTCATATTTCTATTCTTGTGTCAGTACTAGGCTGTTTAGATTATAACTGCCCTGTGATATGTCTTGAAGTATGGTATTGTGATTCTTCCAGCTTTATGTTTATTGTTTAAGATTGCTTTAACTATTCAGGGTATCTTGTGATTCCATATTAATTTTAGGGTCTTTTTTTCTAGATCTTAGGAGAATGTGTTTGGTATTTTGATTGGAATCACAATGAGTCTGTAAGTTGTTTGGATAGTATGGACATTTGGGTGATATTAATTTTTCCAATCCATGACCATGGGAGATGTTTTTAACTTTTTATGTCATTTTCTACTCTTTCCTTAATGTTTTCTAATTTGCGTTGTAGAGATGTTTCCTGTATTTGATTAAGTTTATCCCAAAGAATTAAATTTTTATAGCTATTATGAATGAGATTGATTTTACAAGTTCTTTCTCAACTATGATGTTGTTTGTGTATACAAATGCTATTGATTTTTGTGTGTTGATTTTATATCCTGTAACTTTGCTGAGCTCTCTTATGAGTTCTAATAGCCTCTGAGTAGAGTCTTGTGGTTTCCCTATGTATAGAATCATATCATCTGCAAACAGTGGTAATTTGACTTCCTACTTTTCCATTTGTATCCCTTTGGTTTCTTTCATAATACCTTTGGCTAAAACTTCCAGGACTATGTTGAATAGCAGTGGTGACAATGGGCATCATTGTCTGGTTCAGGATCTTAGTGAAAATGCTTCCAGGTTTCCCCATTCGGTATGATGTTACTGTGGATTTGTCATAAATTGCCCTGATTGTGTTGAGTTATGTTCCCTCTATGCCCAATTTGTTTAAGATTTTTAACATGAAACAATGTTGTATTTTATCAAATGCTTTCTCTGTATCTATTGAGATAAGCATATGGTTTTTATTCTTCAATTTGTTTATGTGATATATCACATTGATTTATTTGAGAATGTTGAACCATTCTTGCATACCAGGGATAAATCTCAGTTGGTTTTGGGAAAATGATCTTTCTGATGTGTTGTTGGATTCAATTAGCTAGTATTTTGTTAAGGATTTTTGCGGCTATGTCCATCAGGTATATTTGTCGATAGTTCCTTTTTATTGATGTATCCTTCAATGATTTAGGAATTAAGGCAATACTGGCCTCATAGAAAGAGTTTTGAAGGATTCTCTCCCATTGGAATCGGAATTAGTTCTTCTTTATATAACATATTGCCAAAGAATAGGAAAGGTCTATTTCAAATAAATTGCATATTTTATCTATATACAAGTACATACTCATATGTATATTTTTTAAAAAGTTTTCTAATGTGTGATAGTGGTATCTAGACTTACCTGAAGTACTGATTAACTGAATTCACTTCAAACTTAATTGTTTCTCTGCCTATTCAGCTTTTGAAATCATCAGTAAGAGTTTATCCTGTTTTCCCTATTGAGTAATACAATAATACAATTTTACCACTTTATTGCTTCCATCTCCTTTCCATCTCAAGAAAGCCTGCATAATTTCTCACTGTATGTCTATCTCTCTCTATCTCTGTCTCTACCTCTACACCTCTCTCTGTCTCTCTCTGTCTCTCTCTATCTCTCTTTCTATCTCTATCTATCTCTATCTCTCTCACAAGGGTATGGTTAGTTTCCAACTTGTCTTGTAGTCCATCAGTCATGAGTCAGAAACAAAATTACTGTCAAGATTTGTTACAGTTTTAACTTTCCCTCTAACCATGAAACCTATCTGACTCAATGTAGATGTTGAATACAAATAGTTTGATGATTACTTCGAATATATCTTTCTAAGAATAAAATTGATTATCCTATGTTTACTGATAAAACTGTTCATTTACAAAGTTTAATTATTAAACTTTACATTTGCATTTTCTTTAATATCAGGACACTTGAGCAATTTGGATTTTATTAAACTTTAGCAAAGCATTAAGCCCTTGACTGTAATGTAAATTAAAAATAAGTTGTCTAAAACAAATAAATAATAAACTGTAACCAAACAAACTCAATGCAATAAAAAGTATGGCACAAAGACCCCCTGGCTTAATTTTTCTTCGTTCTATTAGACCCTCAAGACAATGACCTTTAAGAAAAAAAATGATTTTAAAAATGTTTATATATTAGCTGTCCTCAGAATGTTTCCAGCACTATGTACAGGAGAATCTATTCTCCTGAGCATTTCATGCTTCATGATAAATTTTAATAATCTTATCAGATGAATTTTAAACATCTTCATTCTAAGGTTTTATCCAAGTTGTTGCTTTACCCTTTAGCTTAATCTCGAAATAGATGGTATTTCTTTGTAGCTGGAAACCAGCCTACTTGTATATAATCCAACACTGGTAATATATAAAAAGCTTTATCTAGCTCTTGGACTGCCTGGTTACTTGGCTTCCATCTTCTCCTAATATACTGAAAAAAATTAATCTGGCCATCCATCTTGCAAATTTCTAAAGAACAACCAGTTCTCTTATGTATTTTGAGATTTACTTTCCTTTCTTTTGAATCTATTATTTCTACCAATTCATTTTCCTTAAATTCATTTACTTTGTTTTTCAGGCTATTCTCCTTCCTTCTATTAGAATCCTAAATCCCATCTGTTCATGATCACTCTCAGTGAGGCTGCCTTTCACCTCTATGTTCCCAACCAAGGCCTCTCTGAATATAGACCTAGGAGGTAGGAAACCCTGTATTCTGGTTTGTAGTCTTTGATTATCATTCCCTCTAGTCCTCATATTTCTTTTGCCTAGATTTGCAGTTGGTGAAATAAAGATGTTTTTAACACCTATCACAGTACAAGTAATCAAATTCTGTCTTACTAGAATTTAGGTAAGTTTTAGAGGAATCTGAGTCAACACTGTTCATTTTGCAAACCCCAAAGACTTCAGCACACAAATATCTGATTTAAAATCTATAGAAAAAAGTTGAAAAAAATTATAAATGCCTTATCTATGTATAAAGTATTTTAAGTAGTACATTATTTTTGTTGGGTTCATTAAATATATCCATTTAAAGGAAAAAAATCTAGATTAACTCTCTAAGACTAAGAGCTTAAGGAAAACCCGTATAGAGTAACAGTTCATAAGATTTTTCCACTAGTAAAAGAGGTTAAAATAATGACTTAAATGAAGCTGCAGACACTGAGGCAAAATATGAGTGTCATGTTTTGCCAACCAGTTACTGAACTGTTTCAGACTTAGTGTCTTGTCTTTCAGCAAATATTTTGTTTTATTCACTTTACTATCCTGAAATGAAATGCAGAGATAATCTAAAAGACCACTTCATTTGCTAACTGCTACATAAAGGAGATATAAGAAGAAAGTAGTTCATAATAAAATGAAATGTATTCCAATATGCTAGTGTTCAAACATAACTATACTAAAAGACAAAATGCAATAATCAGACATGAAAAAATTGGCTTTAAAATCATTAAGAACTTGAGAAAACATTCCATATAATCATTGGATAACATGTTAAAGCATGTCTATGGATGGATAAAAAGTAAAGGCCACCTTTGGAGTCAATAATAATTAATTGATTGATTGTACCTGAATTAGTGGAAAATAACCAAAATTAAATTATGAATAATGTACCAAGAAAAACTGAGGAGAAATGAGCTGACCTTTACTCTAAAAAAAAAAAAAAAATGATTGATTGATTGATTTGAAAGGCAGAGAGAGAGAGGGAAAGAAAAAATTGTGACATCAAACTCCCCCATAGTTCTGGGAATCAAGAACATTTCTATGAGTGTCCACCAAGATGAAATACTGTCATAGCTGAGATTATGTTTTCATAGATGTAGCCAATTCAGTGGTGCTTATTAGTCACAAGGGCAGAGTAGATTAACAGTTTCTTTTTGCCTATTAGCATCATAAATAATCCATTTTTAAAGCTTTTATTTATTTATTCATGTACTTGACTTGCAGAGTGACTGAGAGAGAGAGAGAGAGAGAGAGAGAGAGAGAATCTTCCATTCACTGGTTCATACTCCAAATGGCCACAACAGTAAAGTCTGGGCCAGAAACTCCATCCAAATCTCCTACAATAAGCAAATTTTTAAACATCTGTATATACATTCTACAACCATAATCCAGTACAGAGAAGGATGATATAAAAAGAGAACTGAAGATGAACTTCAGGGTTTTAAAAATATTGAACTGCATAATTAAGCTGTGTCACTTATAATCTTCTGCCAGTGTCCCTGTATATAATTGAATTACCAAAGGAATGAAAAAAACTAACATTAGAATTGAGGAAAAGATAGTATCTAAGGAGATTGAAGCCCTATCATATTTTATAAATTATAAATATTAAGGCATATACCTGGAATACAGTCATGGCATACTCTAAAAACAGAAATATTAGGCTATGTTGAAATAGTAAATTAATAGTGGGAAGGGATTTCTATAAAGATCTGATGAATGAGGTTTCTGTGAGAGACTTGCCTTAAGATTAAATGAATTGATGTCACTTTTTACTCTTATTTCTATCCTTGCTGAATAAATAGAAAAGAGTGAGAATCTGTGTGAATGACAACACAGGAGTCAGTCTATACTTGGTGATCCCAGTGATAATCTTCCCTGAGAAGGGCTTGTTTGTCATCAAGGGTATCATACAGGGAATGAGCATAAATGCAGCTCAAGAAGCACACTATTTGTTAAATGAACCAATACTTTATTAAAACTACTCCAAAGTTTTGTAATGAAGAAACAAACTTTTCCCTCCAGTAACTGAACAAAATGATTAAGACTGTTTTCTTAGCATTATATTTATAGACCTGAGATGATTGTTGAAGTCCAAAATATACAATTTGTCCTATTAATGTTAAAGTGTTTATACCTTGCTTGATGATTAAAGTATATTTTGGTCTCCAAAATGTATGAAGTCCATTAAATGAAAGGGAGAAATAGCAGTCCAAGGCAAAATATTCTAACAAGCATGTTTATTCACACAGCTTGCAATTTTCTTTTTTTTTTTTTTTTTTGATTCAAGAAGCAGAATGACAGAGTAACAAACAGACAGAGCTCCCAGCCACAGATTCATTCCCCCAAAAGACTGCCACAACCAGCAATGGGCCGGGACAAGTAATTCAATTCAGCTCTCCCATGTGGTTAGCAGAGACCCAACTACCTGAGCCCTGACGCGCTGCCTCCAAGGTTGTGCATTTGCAGCAAGCTGGAACCAGAAGCTGGAGTCGAGAACTGAACCCAAGCACCATGTTATGGGATGTGGCTGCCTTAATCACTAGGCTCAATGCTCACCCCCGTTTGTGTATTAGAATCATTCTCTCCGGCACAAAAGAGAAAGGCTGTGCAACACTATCGGGTTCTTTCTTTGTTCATCTTTAAGAGCTAAATAATGTTATAAGTAATATTGCTCACTGCACATAAAACTCGTTATAGTATTTCCTGACAGTCTTTAGGCAATAAACAAAAATTAGTTTCAAAAAGATGTGCTGGTTGGTTTCCTCATCCACAATTCAGGAACCACAGGTCTTAGTATCTTGCCAAATTATCCATGTAGGAAAGAAATGTGAGAAGTGACCTGTACTAACAAACATGTTCTATAGCCTAGCTATGGCCACTTCTGTAAGCTTTGTTTGCCAGAGCATTCTTCTTGTGTGGTTTTTATAGTGTTTTTTGTTTTGTTTTGTTTTTGTCTCTCAAAAAGTGATCAATCTTAAATACAAATGAAGGAAAAAAGAAAGGAAAGTTTCAAACATCCCATACAAGATCATAGAAGTTTTAATAGAGTACACAGTAAAACATATACAAATAGCCTTTTGCCTTTCTTATCCTTATCATAATTCCCTCATCTGTATTTTAACTGCTTTAGAAACCTTACACAGATAGTGGAAGCATATGATGAACCCCACAGGCAGGTTTATTCTTAGTGACACAGAGAGGGATGTGGCACAAATTGGAAAAAGGCAAGCAATTCATTCAGAAATTTCATGATCTATGTGATTTTAATCATAGAAAAGTCTTTTAAAAAAAGATTAATGAATTTGAAAATCAGAGTTAGAGATGGAGGGTTGGGGTAGAGAGATCTTCCAACCATTGACTGGTTCATTCCCCAGATGGCCACAACAACTAGGGCTGGGCCAGGACAAAGCCAGGGACCAGAAGCTGCTTCCAAGTCTCCCATGTGAATGGCAGGAATCCAAGCATGTGGGTCATCTTTTGCTGCTTTTCCAAGGCCATTAGCAGGGAGTTGGATTGGAAGAGGAGCAGCCAGGACACGCACCAGAGCCCATATGAGATGTGGGCTTTGCAGGTGGTGCCTTAATCTGCTTCGCCACAACAATGCCCCCCTAGGGAAGTGCTTACTTGAATAATCCCCAGATTATAAAACAAAAATGATGAGAAACCTTGAAGGTAGAATTTCATCAATAACAGGGAGTGGAGTGCTTCTTTTATTTCAGACTTTAATAAAAGTAGTCAGTTTATAGCCTAGGCTGCCATTTTCTCTCTGGGTGCATAGCCAAGGCCCAATCTTATCTTTGGGCATTCACAAGCTGCCACATAAGGCAGAAGATGATGCTAAACTCTGTAATTCAGGTATCAGCTGTCTACATTTAATCATACCTGAAGGAGAGTCGCCTCGTCATGGATCATCACAGTAGAACATTTAAGACCATCTCATTCTTCCATTTCTTTTGATAATATTCTTAAACATATTTTCCAATTTTTTAGGGCCTTTTAATCATATCAAGTCAAGCCTCCTGGGTTCCACATCGGATTCAAACCTCAACAAATACAGCACCATTAACAAGATTCCACAGCTCACTCTGAATTTTTCAGATGTCAAAACTGAAAAAAAGAATACGTCACCTCCTTCTTCAGATAAAACCATTATTGCACCCAAGGTTAAAGATCGGACACACAATGTGACAGAGAAAGTTACCCAGGTAGGACATGGTTTTACTATCAGTTTCAATGGTCTCTTAAGTTCTTTCTATACTATAAAACATATTCCTTTTCTTATGAATGACTAACAATAGAGGTAGGCCATTTGTCTGTACTCCTATTTATCTTGATTCATATCTTGAGACTTTGGATGACTCCTAATGTAACAGATATATAAAGATACATACTATGATTCTATCTATTACAAGGTAAAGCAAAAACGTGCAAATATTATATTGTTCCTGTTGTTGTAGAGGTGGTTAACCTACTATTCATCATGTTTGGATATTTATTGTTTTGCTACCAACACTTGCATTATTAAAGCATGATTTTTTTAAAGATAATGGATGGGTCTATTGAAGCCTTGAGGACTAATTGGGATTTAGTCTTGGCTGTGGCCTCCTTTTTTATGCTTATTCTACTCGACAAAGTGAGATCTAAGTTGCCTTGGGAAGAAGAGCTGTCTGAGATGATGAAAAGTCAGAGTGAAACAATACATTTTTCAGGGATGATATTTTACTAATTTCAAGATTTTGGGAACTTGAAGTAGGGTAAAAAGATACTGTCTAAGAGGAGTCCTGCTTCAAAGAATAAATAAAGATGATCTATACTTATTATAACAAAATACTAAGCCAAGCAGTACCTAGATTTTGCTTATGATGCACATACATTGTTTAGAATTGGTGACTAAAATTTATCAAGTAAGCAGTTCTTTACAAATAATTTACTTATTGTATTTGCTTAGCAAATCTTTGCATAAACTATTCACTAGATAAAGGAAAATGACGCCAATCTCTAAGCCACATTTTGAAGATTTTGAATTAACAAAATTTTTCTGTAAATGTAAATATTACCAACAGCACGGTACTGCTGTTTGTAAATAAATTCTTATGTGTGAACAGAAATAGCCACTAAAAGACCATTGGACTATTTATAAATAAATGTAAGCAGTCTATATTTATTTGAGGTGAGAAATTATATATGCTATTTCTGATATTTAACATTTAATATTTATGCAGTAATGAGGCATTCTTCTCTAAGTATCTCATTTTTCTTAAATTTAGTAAAATATATATTTAGTATAATAGGTATAATAGTAGTAAATTAGCAGTCTACTGTAATGCATTTTGTATTGTCATCATTCTGATACCATTAAATTTTACTTGCAAGTGTTTTTTCCTTTTAAAATCTATTGTTTACGAAAAGTAACAATTATATGTATGCATAGAAATTAAGATTCTTGAGAAGAAAGATGGGAATTATTAGGATCAGAGCCTGCAAGTAGCATAGGTGAATAAAGCAGATGGCAGAGAGCAGCAGGAATCAAAGAGACTGCAGTGAACTGCAGAGGACACGCTGCCACTCAGCACTAGCCACTTGTGGTCAGGCAGGAATATTTAACCAATGATGTTTCCAAATCTGCTAATAAAAGAACTTGAAATCTAGAATTTAAAATAAGCTCTTAATTTCCATAATTGACAAATTAATTACAAATTTTCAGAACAAAACACAACGTAAGACCTATAGACAGCAAGGTGTGATGTGCTAAAGCTTTCATAGTCCCCCACAGAAGCACCCTAACCCACAGCATTCAGCACATCCTCGTGTCAAGAAAGAGTGATACACGCACGCATCAGAGATGCCTTTGCTCTGGGAGCTTTGTTGGCCCCATGCGACAGGAAACACATGTGTAAACAGTCATAATGAAATACATCTTAATGAAGAATAGAAGACCACATGCTAAGGGAAAGTATGCATTAAAAGCAGCATTTTCAGAGAAGAAAAATATATAGTATAGTACATATAACCTGGACCTAGAAGGTTACCTAGAGTAGGGTGTAGTAATTAGTGTTTAAGGGTGTAAATCAGAGTCACAGGGAATATGTTATAAGTCTGGCTTTATTTATTGTGTGCCATGGAGATAGGTGGCATTTATTTTGTGACATTGAAGCAGGTTTTAGGGCTAGCAAAAGTCATATTTTGCCATCTTGATATAAAAATCAAGTAGAATAATGGTTGGAAAGTGCTCACCACAGTGCTAAGTACATAGTAAGCAATATCAACCTTTATTATGCTTTTTATGTTCTTGTGTGACTTCACAAGCTCCCAAACTCTCCTCATCTTCTCTTTTCATCATTTTATTCTTACACCCCCAGGGCTTCATAAAACATTTGGCAAAGGAGAGTTCATCAAATATTTGTTGAATGAATGATGGAATTTCCAAGGAAAGGGATGTGGATTTCACATAGAAAAAGCAGGAAGAACAGAGATATAGAGGCACAGGTTCACAAATCTTATAACAGTGGTTTCCTGGGCCATTGTGGGGCTAGGCTGGTAACTTTCCCCTCCAGATGATTCTATCCCATTTTTTCTTTTCACATAAATGCCTTAGTGCTCTCAGGAAAATGCATCAGCTTCCATCAGAAGCTTGACATTCTCTTAATGCCTGATGCTTACCTTTAAAGAAATTACTGTGCGTTTTATATTTAGCCCCGTAATATTAGGATATTTATGTTAACATTTTAAGAAAGGTTATAAATTTTTACGGTAGACCACATGTCCCCCCAAAAGACATACATTGAAACCTAATCCCCAGGGAGATGAGACCTGTGAAGGGTTGTTAGGTCAGGAATGGGATGAGTGCCCTTGTAGAAGAGGAGCCAAAGAACTTTGCATTTCCCTTCTGCCAAGTAGGAAGCAATGAAATGATAGGCATCAGTCAAAAGGGAAGCAACTGAAACGTGGAGAGGCAGGCTGCATTCATTGTACAACTGACAGCATTGCCTCTGCTCTTGGCCATGCTTTCCTCCTGGCTGACTTCACACTCCAAGTAATTGCAGCAAATTCCTCAGGTTCTCCTGTCCCAGGATGCTCACAGCTAATGATCTGGTGAATAGGGCTTTACCTCCTTCAGCATCCAAATCATTCCCATCCAAAACAGACTCGGACTGGCTAACTCTGGTCCTGGGACCATTCCCATGCTGCAAGGTAAAGCCATTTGACTGACATCAGAAAAAAGAGGAGGGAAGGGGAATTTCTAAGGAAATATAACCAAACAATGGTGGCCATTGCAAAAGTGAAGATAGGAATTCATATCAATGGCATCAGTCATACACACACATACACACACACACATTCACACTCACAGAATATGTACTGGATAGATTCTAGTAATACAAAAGTATAGAAATTAGTTTCTATTCCTATGTATAATACATAATAAATTACCTGGAGAATGACTATATAGCAATAAATAATAGCATTTACAGGTATTTTTTATTAAATGGTACAAGATTCTATCATGTGAGTAAATTTAGTTTCCATTCCCTTTAAACCCAGTATTGGTTAAATTATGGCCAAACAGTTTCACAAATTGGCCTCTATTACTTAAGAAGAGTACTTGTGAATTCAGTGGAAATCCACATAATCAAAAATAAGATGCATGAAGGGAACTAAATGAAGCAGTATATTTTCATCTAGCAAACAGAAGAGAAAAAGTGACTTACTGTTAGTACACAGTGTAATCTTCACATAGCTTTATTAAGAATAAGAGAATTAGTTTAAACTGTAAGCACAAAATGACTTAGGTTATAGAAAGAAAAGTCTGTATGTTTCAAAAGTCATATAATCTGTAAATCTATGTAGATTTTTAAAGTCAAAATCGGTCCCAGTGTTTCATGAAAATACATCATTGACATGAAGACATAATCATGGTAAATTTAATAATAGCTGACATTGATCGAACATTTATTATGTACCAGGCTCTGTGATAAGTGGCTTGGTGGATTATCAATTTTAATCTACATGACAGTTGGTACTATTATTACCATCTGCATCTCATAGAAAAGTTAAGTTTGGAGAGATGAAGTAACTTGTCTAGGAGACGTAGTAAATGGTGGAACAGACTTCAAACCAAGGCCATCTGACTCTGAAAGTGAAGTTATTAGTTCTTCATCTGTCCCCTTAACGAAGCCATTTTATTTCTCTGTCTCCTAAATCTTCTCAGAAGTTATCATGACAGTGGACGTGCCTGTAGTAATTGGCTTAGGGTCAAAAGTCATAATTTGAATGTTCCGTAACAGCTAATCAGAGAAGGAAAGCCAAAGAAATAGGGAGGAGAGTATGGCAGATTTTCTCCAAAGCGGCTCACACTCATCACAAAGACCACTGGAACCATTCATGACAGGAAGCTTAAATCAGAATTACCCCTTGTTGAAATTTACATCTCATCTACCTTATGTTAATTTTACATTAACATAATGACATTTGTTTTGTTTTTGTTTTCGTTCGTTTGTCACACAGTTGCAGGAAAAGTAAAATTACATTGATATTACTGACATAAAGAAGAGCTCAATGATTATAGCTTTTTACTTTCTATTGATCTTTATCTATTTTAAATATATTCATTCTGTACTCCTTGTGATCTAATACCTCTCAATTTATACTTAGTCCTGATGGAAAACATGTAACTATAATTCAGTATCTCTTTAGGAATAGAAATTCAGGTCAATATAGAACATCTATTTCATCTTATTGCTTATTTTAAAAATTATTTATCCTCTCAGCCTTAACAATATAAAATATTTTTTCACGTTCTGTAATTTCTACAAATCTGATAAATTTAGGCCTCAACATTTTCAATGACAGAAACTGAAAAAGTCTTATAGACACAGCTATAAATTCAAAGCGGTTTTCTTATATAGTGATGCTTTCCAATAATAATATCTCAGGTTAAAAATTACACTTACCTAATTTTCAAAACCTATTTTTATAAAGATTCATTGATTCTTCATTCAAAATTATAGAAATAAAATTCACAATGTTTCTACAATATGATTTGTGTTTTCCTAAACTTTATTTCAAATCTAAAATAATTTAACTACCATGCAAACCTCAATAAAACTATACAGAGTATCTGCAAGAAATAGTGATAATCATAAAATTCCATATTAAAGTGAAATGTAATTCAGGATTACAAAACTGATTCTGAATATTTTAATTC